GAGTGTCCCTCTGGAGCGTATGACTTCAACATCCAGAAAGGGTAGTCGTTCATCTACCTCCACCTCCATTATAAACTTAATTCTTTTATCAAGTTGGTCAATGAAATTAAAGAATTCACTTAAATTTTCCTTACCATGTGACCAAAGTGCCAAATAGTCATGAGCCGTGGCTATCCCCTCTCATAGGAGCCTAACGAGCAGAAGATTGAAAGAGGAAATTTGAGCAATCAAGGCGAAATCCGGAATTCATCAAGATCATCAGAAAGAGCATCTCTCGAGTACTAGGAAGAGGCAGTGTCATGAAGTGGAGCTTAAAAGAGAGAAATGCACGTCGAGATGCTGCAATCATCAAAGAGTACGTATGTGAGTTGTCGCAACCGTCTCGATGGGTTGCCATTAGGCATGCGATTTCACGAGTTGTATCCACTTCAATTCAACTCGAGGGTTTCAACAGAGGCTGGAGACACTATCTAGCCTAACTATCGGCACACGAGACATATGACGACGGGACTCATAGCCTGATGCCGGATCCAAACGGAGTCATGTGCACATTCGGAATGAAGTTAGGCCATGTTTTCCAAAAGTTATTATCGTCAAGAGTGGACTTTAGTTTCGACCCGTAAAGGGTAATAAAATCCAGCTAGTGCAATTTAGTCTCGAAGCCTACTTACAAATAATATAAAGTAGTATAAACGATTGAATGGCAAAATAGAAGTTTGAGGTGTATTCGTCCTATTTGGTTTAAGGTGATGAGGAGATTGGTAGTTGAACTTTCACACAATACTAATAGTAGGCCTGACATAACCATCGAATTTCCCATATCCTTGCTTTTCCAAAAGGTATCCTCCTACAGGCTGGACTGCACCTTTGATCCTCGCCTAGCTCTCATCGACACTGCCAGCAAGACCAATGCGAGGTCGAAACTGCAGTCCACTCTTGGCTGGATGAGAATACCTTTTTGGAAAACAAGACTATGTGACATTCAATGGCAATATAAGGTTTACTCATATAATTGTGGGAAAATTCAGCTACCCGTCCGCTTATCACCCTAAGCGAAATAGGCTGAATGCACCTCATACACCTGACCTAATGATACTCTCAAAGGTCAATTTATAATAAAAAAATAAAAGTTTTCCGGTTCATCTGTATCTCTGAAAGTGAGCACTATCTTTATAGGAGTTAAAGTGTCTTCCTAAACTATGACTGATCGCATGGCAGAAATTGGACCTCAAATTAGTTAACCTTAGACTCATCAGTTTAGGCAATTTGTTAAATGTATGGAATGCGGCAGAAAGTTAGGCAAGAACTTTTCGTAGCTATGAAAACGGAAATGGCGTTAATTTTTGTTTGATCGCATTCCCCTTTAGATGAATAGTGTTGGTTTGTATGAGATTAGGGTTTCGAGACTACCAGTAAATCAGTGTAATGAGATTTATTGACCCTATTTCGTCTAAGGTGATGAAGGACTGGTAGTAGAATTTTCCCACAATGATATGAATTGGGCTGACGTTTTCCTTGAATTTCACATAGCCTTGCTTTCCCAAAAGTCGAAACTGCAGTCCACCCTGAATGAGAACAACTTTTGGGAAAGCAAGGCTATGTGAAATTAAAAGAAAACGTCAGCTCAACTCATATCATTGTGGGAAAATTGTACTACCAGTCCTTTTTCACCTTACACGAAATAGGGTGAATACATGTCATTAGTGTTGGTTTGACCTCGTTTTCGTAACCTGGTTTGAGGGATAGAATGACTTTGTGGAACGTACCTAGTCTTGCTTCCTCTGCTATAGTATTCATGATTTCCAGCATTGTGTGCTAAATCAACAGTGTGCTAGGCCAACAATGTACCAATTCAACGGTCTGATGTAGGAAATATTCATGAATGGTTGAGGGCGAAGAACTCAGAATTGGGTACGTTCCACGAGGCCTTCCTGTCGCTCCGACCGAGTAGCGAACTTGGTAACAAATCAAGAACTTTATGTGTTTGAATGATTATCTCAATCATAACATGGGGGTCTAGCCAATTAAAAAGACGGTCTACTGAACTAGCCAATTCAGTTTTCATAGTGATGAAGATCGGATACTTTTGATACATTTCGTTCACACAGCAAGAAAACACATCACACCAACCCGAAAAGCGTTACAGATTGCACAATCATAGTGACGCGTTTGAAAAAATGAAAAATACCAATAAACCCTGATGATCTGGGCCAGATATGAAACTCTTTTCATACAAACACACACCAATATACACACGCTCGCACTCAAAATCACACTCATGTATGAACGTTTATAGTCGTGGATGGACAGGAGAAAAAAAACCATCCAAACCTCATGTATCCCTAAAAAGGCTTTTTTGCTTATAGGCCGGTTTTTTCAATTATTTGTAGTTAGCTCCCAGTAACTGTAGGTATAAAGTCCGGCTCGGAGGGTAACTGTGACTCGAGATGACAGACGAAAGCACAGAATATTTTCCCGAAGTGCCCGAAGGTCCCAAAAGAGCAGAGGGACTCGAAGGACCCGAATTCTGACAACTATATAACTCTTCTTGTACATCAAAAAAACAACAGACAAAGTGGAATTTTTTGCCTTTCTTTGGAAAGATCGACCCAGAAAGCTATTCATCACACGGTCGCATATGAAAATTTGGTGTTTCTTTGCTCACAACTCTTGTACTTACACGCAGAGCCATGAACTTTTTATGCACAATTATCCAACAAAGCAAATAGATGAAGCACGGCATGACAGCGAGAATCGCGATGCAGTCGACCTCGTGGATGACGCGGAGGCTTCTCATGAGGCAGTAAAGGAAGAGGTTCCAGAGCACGGCCTGGAGTGTACAGCGTGCCAAAACTTTTACGATGGTCGGCTGGTCGCTAGTCAGAATTGTCATATGGTATCTGGTCGCCAAGGCGGTGGAAGATCCAGAGTGGCATGTGATGGATGAGAGGAGGGGGATGGGCATAAAAGTAGGAAAAATAATCGGTCTTATGACAGCAGTACATTGTAAAAGGAAGGAAATCGGATTTGGTAAGGTTATAAGAGACGGCCAAAAATGAACATCAAAAGAAAGGGTGAAACACGCTTGAAGCAAGCCGAATGTCTACCATTTGCGTATACACTAACCAACAACAGGGGAAATGTGATTGCATGCAATAATTTCAAAAAAAACGAAATACCAAATTGTTAAGATGCGTTTCTCAGCTTCTTTCGACATGACCCAAAAGCCAAATTATATTCATCAACTATTTACTCTTGACACATTCCAGCTTTTAGTCAGTTGGGTCCATCGAAGAAAGTGTCAAAGGGACGTATCTATCAAGACCTCTTTATTACTTTCGAAGAATCCCTTCGTGAGTTAGTGTGACTCGAGTTTACATCTTAAAGAAAGCTTGGTTGGAAGAAGTTTGGCAATTGGTCTCACCTGAAATCGAAAGAACATTGACTCTCCTGGAGCAAAGCTTGTTGAATTGTGCGAATAAATTGAGTCAAATGATTCTTCGCACAATCCAACAGCCGTCACTGCGCGGCAATTCTTCTTCAGGTTC